GGAAAAAGGCAAAATTATATTAGGATCTTGTGAATCAAAACACTTTTTATACCTGAGAGCAACTTACAAGCTTTTGCAAAGACAGCAATGCATTGCATACTGTTGCCTCGTTTGTGATCTATGTTTGTTCCCAAGTCCTTTTCATTTATTGTTATCCTTAACTCAACCCCATTTAATGCTTAAGTGGCTTGTGGGTTCCTTATTCCAAAATGCATGACTTTACATTTATCTGTATTGAATCTCATCTGCCACTTGCCTGCCCCCAATTTATCCAAACCCCTCTGTAGAAAACTTATTTCATATTCAGATTGTATTTTCTAACATAGTTTTGTGTTATCCACAAAAATAGGCAAAAATTAGGGCAGCACAAACAATTGCAAGTGTGCACACCAAGTGCTACAAAAAGATTTATTTTTAAGGACATCAGGTACACACATTTCGGGTTAATCCCTTTATCAATGCATGTCTTACAAAAACAGAGAGCACTCACCATTAAATAGATGACCCAAATAGACAGCACAGACCATCATTCCCAACACCTCCCTTGCATAATTGAGTAAAGCAGCCCCTCCCGACAACCCTCCGCCATCTTGCATACTAGTAGCAAACAGACTGAGTAAGCTAGGTACTGAGGCCTCTCAGGGCCAAAAAACATACCACGACGCTGAAATCGCTTAATGGATGAAACAACTCTGTATTCAAGAACACTGCTGTAGGCAGAGAGCTAATAAATCATCTAAATAAAACACATAAAAAAATAATAATAATACAATGGAAAAATGATTTACAAAATAAATAAACATAAATATAAAGTACCAAAAATGGTCTAAACTGCAGTGCTGCTAGCAGAGGTAATTACAAGGGACTTTACACAACCAGACACATCATAGAAGAACACCCAGATGAGAGCTTCTATTCCACAAGTCTAACACCTACATCAAACCAAGTCTTAGAGTGTAAATATGAATACAAAATATATACAAAAATCTACAAGGTCCTTCAAACCCCTGCAAAGAGGAGGGGATAAGAAGGAGGACTTAGAGGTCCCATCCATAAGGAGAGGAATATCTGGCAGGAATAAAGAGAAGGTTTAATCCAAAACCAATATTTATAAGCACATAGAAAACAGACATACCAAGACACTAGTATGCATAAAGATATAATTCAAAAAGATATAATTCAAAAAAGACTAACCTTCCAGTGGGTATCATATGGATAATCTAGAGGAACCAGTGCCACTCAAGCTTCTCATTAAGACCATGAGGTGACACTGTGTCCAGTAGATGCATCCAGCGAACTTCCTTCTGCAACAATCTCCTTTCTCTATCACCACCGCTAGGGGATAGTTCAACCCTCTCAAGAATCTGGTACCAGAGCTGTGATACATTGTGTCTCATCTCCCGAAAGTGACGTGCGACCAGAGTGTCTGCATTTGCATTACCAATAGAGGTTGTGTGTTGAGAGACACGATCTTTAAAAGCACAAATGGTTTTTCCCAAGCCACACGGACACTTCAAAAGATAGACCACAAAGTCAGATTGACAAGTAAAGAATCCTTTCAGTTTAATCTGCTGTCCTTTCTGGGGATGTGTACAAAATTCATTCTTTATGATTCCGCTGCAGTGATTACAGAAGAGACTAGGGTAAGTACCAAAGACCGGTTTAGATAAGAACCATTGTTTGTTTGGGGTTAAGCTATCAGCATTTACCACTAAGTTTCTTATGGTACGGCCTCTCTTCTAGGCAAATAGTGGTGGTTCTTTAACCCCTTAGTGACCAGACCACTTTTCAATTTTCTTACCGTTTGGGATCAGGGCTGTTTTTACATTTCTGCTGTGTTTGTGTTTAGCTGTAATTTTCCTCTTACTCATTTACTGTATCCACACATATTATATACTGTTTTTCTCGCCATTAAATGGTCTTTCTAAAGATACCATTATTTTCATCATATCATATAATTTACTATAAAAAGAATTATAAAATGTGATGAAAAAAACCAAAACATTTTTTCAAACTTTGACCCCCAAAATCTGTTACGCATCTACAACCGCCAAAAAACACCTATGCTAAATAGTTTCAAAATTTTGTCCTGAGTTTAGAAATACCCAATGTATAAGTACAAGCAGGGCCAGATTAAGAGCCCAGTGGGCCTGGTGCTGACAATTATGACGGGCCTAATTACAGAATCATATCGACCAAAAACAGTAAAACACTCCCAAGCATCATGTATCTGATGGTGCTGGAGAGAAAGAAAACAGCAGCTATAAGAAAACACATACCCTAGGCTAATCTCTCTCTAATTTATGTTTTCATCTTTCAAGTAAATCCATAACCCCTAACAGCAGTGTCCAGTCAAGCAGGAAGTCAATGGGCATGGTAAAAGGGTGTGCCACTGACACAAATCACGTAACCTGCCAAAAGGGGAGAACATGCCCAAAAAGAGGACATGTCTGCCCAAAGAATTAGAAGGCCAGCCTGGCATGAATGCATGTCAGGCTGCCTGCCAATCATGCAGCTGGCCAACTAAGGGCATACTATGCAGACAGCACCCTGAGCTTGGCATAAATGCATCTAATGATGCGCTCACTCAACGCTTTCTAAAGACTGTCCCCTAGCACCCGCTGGTCCACTTGTCTCCTTACCTTCTTACTAGCAGGCAGAAGCTCCTGGTATATGGTCTGGGACAGAGAAAAGCTGTATGTAGTGAGTGTAGAAGAAAGGGAACATGCCACAGTGTTAGAGAGAGCAAAGTCAGCATTACCTTAAAGGATCACTATAGGGTCAGGAACACAAACATGAATTCATGACCCTATAGTGTTAACACCACCATCTAGCCCCCCTGGGCCCCTCATGCCTCCATAAATATAGCAAAATCTTACTATATTCAAGCCTGAAGCTGTAACTCTGCATGCTGTTAGACTCATAAAACAAGCAGTCTGCTGACATCATTAGAAGTGGTGGCCTGATCCAATCACAGTGCTTCCCCATAGGATTGGCTGAGACTGACAAAGAGGCAGATCAGGGTCAGAGCCAGCATGATTCAAACACAGCCCTTGCCAATCAGCATCTCCTTATATAGATGAAGTTAATTAATGAATCTCTATGAGGAAAGTTCAGTGTCTGCATGCAGAGGGAGTAGACACTGAATGTTTGGATGCATTTTAGGCAACCATGACCCAGGAAGGATCTCTAACAGCCATCTAAGGAGTGGTCAGTGAAGTTATCACTAGGATGTAATGTAAACACTGCATTTTCTCTGAAAAGCAGTGTTTACAGCAAAAAGCCTGACGGTAATGATTCTACTCACCAGAACAAATTCAATAAGCTGTAGTTGTTCTGGTGACTATAGTGTCCCTTTAACTATATTCATTGTCAGTCCACACAAGTTTTGTTCCCATACATCCCTCTTAAGTTTCCATACTTAAGTAAGAGTATGTGAAAAGTAGTTAGGGTTGCCACCTTTCTTGGAAAAACATACCGGCCTTACTAATTTGTATAATTAAATATGTATGGGTGACATCACATGATGTAAATCACAAGGAGTGACATAAGAGAAAATGCTGTAAAATCACCAAAAAACTACTTAGTTTGATTCTGCTGTATAGATGGATTCCTCCCAGTGCCCCCATGTCTCCCAGGGCCCCCATGTCTAGTAGTGCCCTCATGACTCAGTGCCCCCATGTGTCGATTACTCCAGCTCTCAGTATTCCTATGTGTCAGTGTCTCAATGCCCCATGTCTCCCAGTGTCCCTTAGTGTCTCAGTGTCTGCCATAATGTCTCCCAATGTCCCTTAGTGTCTCAGTGTCTGCCATAATGTCTCCCAATGTCCCTTAGTGTCTCAGTGTCCCCATGTCTCCTTGCAGCCTTCCCCCCCATCCCTTACTTCCCTGAGCTGTAGGCTGTCTCTGCAGGGTGGGAGTTGCTGTCTGGACTCTGTGTAGCTGCACCCCTGCAGATCAGTGAGTATAGATAGGCAGGGAGGGATATGCTGGAACTTCCTATCCCTGCCTGTCTCCACACACAGTGACCCCTACTGGCCAGTGCTGGTATTGCAGAGCCTAAGAGAATCCCTAAGAGTAGTGTAATTTTTTTTTATTTTTTT